GCAGCACACACATTTTAGTAATGGACCAGAGTACTCGAATAGAAATATTTAATTTTTGTTTAAATAATATTAATTTTGATTTCAAACAGACTTCCTTTGTCACAGTGCAAACAGAATAATGTGGAAGGATGTTGCAATTCGCAAGGAACTCCAGTCACTTCTAGAATCAAAAGCAGAAAAGTATGTTTAGGGAACAATCTTCTTTTTGGCATCATTACTTTGTCACATGGCTTTCGGCAGTAAATACAGTGCCTTCAGATTATGGTATGCAACATTAGCTTTTATGGAGACGTCAGATGATGAGAGACAGCAGCTGATGCCTTTCTTGAGTTACAGATAGTTCTTAGCATGTAAGTAACAAGTTGATATTATTGGGTTGTGATATTGAGTGGGAGTTGAATATTTGTAATTTTTTCTTATAAGATATTAACACTTACATCAAGAAGGTATGATTACTACCTAAGGCATGAAGTTGATAACTTTTAGTACGAAGTTATCACTGCGGGAGAAGGGGTATGGAACAGCAAACAGCAGCTAGAAGCGTGTATCGGGCAAAGCAAACATCCTGGACAGGAACCAAGTGATATCTGCAGGACCTTTCCTTTATGCTACTGTTATGGAGGGTATTTGAAGTATAAGGCATACTGTTTTTTGTGATTATAACAACACAATTGAAGGTATCACCACAGACCAAGTCTTTTGTCTAAAATACATTCAACTGGCAATTCCATCATTGCCACACTCAAGAATGCATGTAAGAATTGGGAAAATGAAGCTGTTTTCAAGTGGCCAATTTAGACTTTAGATAGCTGTTGTTTAATGTTTGATAATTTTTACATGTGTACTTACTAGTACTTATTAAAACAAATTAATGTGACCATTGCCATTTGACAAGAATTTACTGAAAATATATGAATGGGTTATCATCTCAGATAACTATTCTTTGAATAGGATAGCTAGTTTTTATTATTATTTATAATATTTCTGTCCATGGATGATAACAAGGCTCTCACAAATAGTATGAATTCCCTAGGCCTGACATGAAACTCCAATATGGAAGCATGATTAATCAAATTTACTTTACTGACCCCATTCTTGTGTCTTGTATTCCCCCTCAAATGTTCAATCATGTTAAAAATCAGTATCACAGAAAAAGTTGTGTATTCAGTTATTTAGAGTTGTTAATTTATGTTGAATTGTATCTGATAGTTTCCATCGCATACTGGGGAGACTAATAAATCCTAGCAGAAGACTCTGTTCGGGATGTTTGTTTGAAAACTCTTTTGTGAAAACCATGGGAGCCATACAGTCTAGACTATTACAGAATGAGAACAGTAGATAGATAATGAACTAGCCCTTTTGTTGTAAGACAGCAAAATAGATGGAAGAGGGATTTAGCAGTATAAAAAAAAAAGGGTAAAAATATCTAGGATGCAAATATTAACCCATTGCCGCCAGGGAAAATTAACAAAAAATGGGGAAAATGTTGTGCCGATTTTCTATACTTTTTTGTTGAATGTCTGCCGATAGATGGCTCTGTTAGCACCTGATTTGAAATGGCGGGAAAAACGTATTTTTCACTAGTGCCATGAATATCGATGGTGTTATTTTTATTACAAACATTATATTTTTTATAATGTTTTTTAACATTAGTAACAGCAAAATAAGATAAAGTAAATCAAAGAAAAGGGTGAACGGGCGAGACAGGCGGTACTCGTAACTGGCTCATTGGTGATTTAGTACAAGTGTAGCCATCTATGTGTAAAAAAAATCCAACAAGTAACCTCACAGTGGCCATGGCATGGCATGCCCGGCGGGAATGGGTTAACATCTTGAAACTAATGTGAGTCCATATCACACAACATATGAAATAATTACATAAAATTTAATGTTTTCTTATTACTAGTAACCAATATTTACTGATTATTGACTTTCCATGCGTATAGGTCTTTCTACTTTCATTACAAGAAGCATGGATTCTGGGTTTTTATCAGATGCTTTACATTTATGGGAACATTCTTCATAACCATCTTTCCTTTCAGAATCTAGTTGTTTTATTCTAATAATTTAGAGTCATGAAATTATTATTTGTATTTGAGAAAACTAAGAGATGCTCTTTGACTTACAAAACATGTGTTGAAAACATCATAACCATAACCCTTAACAAGACCAAAATGCCAGTGATGTATATCCATGCTATGTACAGTCAAGTCCAGGGTAAAACAGGTGTGCTGTTTGCCATGTTTTAAGTCACTGAGAGATACAGTATAATATAATATATATATACTATATATATTATATATATATATAATATAATTTGTAAAAAAATTTATATATATTATATCACCACACACCACACACACCACACACACACACACACACACACACGACACACACACCACACCACACACACACACACACACACACACAACACACACATACAACACTACACATAACATACAACACATACCGACACCATACACACAACAAATTACCACACACAAATACAAACACACTCAAATACACACACACAAATACACACACCCACACCACACCACACACACACACACACACACACACACACACACACACACACCACACACACACACACCACACACACACACCACAATATATACCCACATACACACACATATACAACATACAGAAACACGAAGAGCCAAAATTATAAAATTGTTCTGCTGCTTGAAATTTTTCACTCAGCTGGATGACTGGGATGGACAGCGAAGTAAAGTACAAGAAAAATACCATTGTGGATGGGGAAAAAATGCTCAGAACACTTATGTTAGATACAATGGCACAAAAAACTAAGGTTTTATCATTAGATCTTTCCGTAACCCAATATTAAAAAAAATATGGCAACAGGTATACAGTTATTCTTGTGGATTGTATGGGAGATAGTGGAGATTTCTTTTTATTATCAATATCATGAATAAGTACATAATAGTATCTTAACCTGAAAAGGTTTTAAACAAAAAAAATCAGAATCAGGGGTGTGCACTACTTTGCAAAGATATATCAATTTATTTTTCATTGCTAATTTCCTTGTTTGACTGATTTGCTATAGTGATATTAAAGTGTTTAACATCATATGGTTTCAAATCCATTCTGTGGTGAAGGCCACTATAGCTAGTTGTTGTAGGCAAAGTGAAAAAAAAATGTGGGGACCTCCTCTTGATAAATTAAATTTTCAGGAACTCCAGATGCAGAGTTCTTTTCCGCACACATGCATCTCCCTTTTAGGCACGATTTACCTTGAGGGCGGCACGGAGCAGTATCTCGCGTAGAGTCTCGCTGTTGCCACTCATCATTACAACACCGATGTTAAAACATGGAGTCTAACATGTTGTCTTGTTTGTGGAATTCCACCCGTCTCAGAGGAATCGCCAAGAACGTAAGTTTATGCAGTGTCCCCCACAATCCCTTGTCTGTTGTTGTCCTTGGGGGTTACCCTGAGGCCCGTGTTGGGATCTCCCCTACCTTGGCCTCCGCCTCATCTCTAATATTTGCATGTCTTTCTTCCTCCTAATCCTTTTCTAATCTTCCATTGTCCAATTCCTGTGGTGTGAGGGAAGTGTTGAAAGGCTGCTTTGTGCGGTCATTAATACTCTCAGGAGCCCTTGTTGATTGGTCTACCCTTCCCTCTCATAGGACCCTAGGGTGGCCTTTATCTTCCCCACATATTTTCAGCTTACCATGGCTTATTAATGTATGGTATTTGAGGATTGCCCATTATCAGCTAGCCTTCCTGAATCAAACTCCTCTGGTTTACTGAGCCCTGACTCTCCTTTAATCATGTCTCTGACAACTGCTACTACCCTCCCTTCTCGACGTGTGTTGTCAACTTGACCACCACCCCCCAAAAAAAAAACCTTGAGGACATTTGAAATTTTCCTAAGCTTGACCCACGAGTAAGCTCTCTCTCATTCATTCTCCAATTTCTCTGCCCCCATTCCATCTCAGCACATTCCCCTACTCCCTTCCCTCCCTTCCCTTATAATGTGACTTCCCTGGCAATGCCAGCCTTTGCAGGAGTCCCGTACATGTAGCGAACTTCCTGCTTGATTGCCCTAGCATGTCCTGACCACCCTATAGTTGTACTTTTCATGATGAGTAATTTTTTTCATGAGTCATTTTTTTCATGAATGGTTGTAAGGCTCTATCCGCATGTCATGACACCTATGTTGTACTCTCATGATGAGTTGTTTTTTTGTGATTGGTTGTTTTTTTTAAGTTAAAACAGCTGCAAAAGTATGTCTCCACATGACCTACTCAACCCCTATTTCTACAGTATGGAAGATCCATAAACGTCAGGAAACATCCCCTCTTCCAGCCTCAGTTCTCCATATCCATAACATTAATTTCTGGCCCTTTACAAGTTGCTACTGCAATACTTAAGCCAGGTCAGTAGTGGCGGTCAACTTTCTCCCTACGTCTGTCTCCATTAACCCATGTCAACGGGTGATTTCCTGATGCATAAGCCCTCTCTCACGGGTTGTATCATCTTGGCCAGGCAAAGGATGTAAGGCCTGGGCCCACGTGTTGTCACTAACTGGCGGCTAAGGGTTAATTAAAAAACACCCAAGAAATGCACTCCATTCTTCTTCTTATTCTCTACAGAGCCCCAAATGCTCTTTTTCCTCTACTGGATTCCTTTTTTTAAATTATAGCATGCAGCAACACACTGAAGGCCCTGATGGAAGGACATTACCATATGGTTACATCTTCACATACAACGTATCTTACTAATGATAATCTTCTACAATATTTGGACAACTTGAAACTTTCCTTCTCACTGGCCTGGACGACATAGCCTACTTTCTTAAACCTAATAAATCTGGCATCCTCCCTCATGACCAGTGTTTGTGCAAATTGCTAGAAAGAATGGACACCTTATGCATGATGTGGTACCTTGAATCCAACTGCACTTTTATCTCCTTAATGTGGGTGAAGAAAAATCCGAATCACCAGCTCATAGTTTTGGGTGTTGCCTGCGGGATTACAGACTGCCCACTCCACAGATCGAGCAATTTGTACACATTGGAAGGCGTTAACTTCTCAATTTGGATTCCATCATGCTCAAGCACAGTGACCAACTTGCACATTTAGAAAAATTACATAACATCTGTCTTTGCCTGCCTAGCTCTGTATTAAGCCATTTTTGAGACATGGAAAAAAGGCATATAATCCTACATGGTGATACACATTTTACCATTCGCCCCTGATTATGTTCTGTCCCGTAGTTTTTGGTGAATTTTGTTACATACAGATTGCTCCACAGTACTCAGCCGCAAGGAAGTTCTCATCAGTAGGCCCTAGTACTGACCCTGATTTTCCTCAGTCATTGATTGGCGGGAAAATTGATAGCATTGCTCTCAATACTGTTATTGTTGTTATTGATGTTATGATTATTAATGTCATTAGAATATTTCAACCTGAAATGAAACAAAAACCCTTTCCTAAGTGAAGGAAAGGGTAAACAGGTGAAATAGGGTTTCTTGATAACTGCTATTTGGTGATTAACCATTGCCGCTGGGGAAAATGACAAAAAAATGGGGGAAATGTAATTACTCATTTTATATTTTTTTGTGAAATATGTCCTAATTGGCGTCTGCTAAGGCCTGCTTTCACCTTCCCTTGAATTGGCGGGAAAAAACGATATTTTACCTAGTGCTATAAATATAGATGGTGTCATTTTTACAGCAAGTTAGGATAACGTTAAATATTTTTGTAAATCGATGAAAAAGGTTGAATGGGCAAGACAGCAGTACTCTTCGTAATTGGCTCATTGGATACCTTTAGTACAAGTGTAGCTATCTATTCGTAAAACACTCAAACAAGTCGACTCACAGTGGGCTGGCATGTAGTACATGCCATCCCCGGCGGCAATGTTAAGACAAGTGAGCCATCTATGTGTAAATACAATAAGAAAAGTGGGTATGGCATCTATTTTTTTTCTTGCACTATTTCTTGGCCAAGTGGGGCAAATGGGTTTAAACAGCTATCATCTCCTCACAGCATAGAGGGAACATGGGTTCATTCATTAAATCATTCTTTTTCACCATATCAGGCCCTTCTATACCAACTATGTCAAATAATCCAAGCTGCAATATCTTTAACCCATGGCGCCGGTGTAACAAAACAAAAAAAAAAAACTACGCTTAACAAACAAAGGCGGGGCGCGCCGACTTGAGCGTCGTGAGTATAAGACATAAGCCCGATCACTGTCTCGCCGCACTCTTTGGCGCGCCGCTGGCTCGTTTGGCTGCATGCCAGCTTTCAAGCGCTTTGTTTACACGCCGTCGCGTCACGCACCTCGGCACAAGGGGTTAATCTCTCCTGTGCCACTGACCAGGGCTTTTCCAGCTACAAATCCTTCTCCACCTTTTTTCTTGATCACGTACATGTCCTCAATCTCCGCTAGGGTATAGATTCTCCCCTCCATCTTCTGCTCCTCAGTAAATTCATCAGTTATTTGACTCCAAACCTCCCTGGCAAGACCACATCCTCTTACATCTAAGAGGAAACCTACTGCTACCTTTCCAACTTCCTACAGACCTATATCCTGGTCCGACTCAAACTCTCCTCCTTGCTGATCCTCTCCACTTCTTTTTGTTTGGGGGGGGACTATGGCTGTTATATCTATTCCTCTTCCGCTTTCATACTCCCCTGATGCTATCTACCACTAGTAGCTTTTAGGCACCTTCTGTTCTTGCCATTTGAGAGCTATAGTTGAAGCAAGGCCTAACTACTCTCCAGAGTTATGAAATTTCCATCAATTTACTTTCTCTAAACTAAATGTCATCAGGGTCCCTTCCTCTACCTTTATCTCTTCTCCACACCCTACCTATCCTCTCTCTGTCTCGATGGTGCCACGTCTCTCCCATTCACCCTTTTCTCACCTCTGATCCCTACTTTTTTTCTACCCATAAATATCCAACTTGGCTTATACCTTCCTCCCATATCAGCTCCCTTATTTTCCCTGATACCTTAAAACAGACCATTTGTATGAGTTTCACTATTTGCAAGTTTATGACCATGTAGTGATATATCTTTTTGTATTTGGCCCCATAATCATTTGTTGTTTCTTTTTCCTAACATTGTGGCATTTTTTATTAATTGTCTTCAGTGAAATGTTGATTAAGATTTGTTGCAGTAGTACTCTGTAATTCCTTTCATGTGTTTTTTATCATTTTACTACTTACTTTGGTCTTGCTCTAATGCCAGAAAATCTAGGTTTCACTGTAGTATTTTTTTGGAAAGGTCACTACACATAACCAAGGGCTTTGGTTAATTGTTACTCACCTTTCCTGGATTTTTCTACTAATGTTGTTATATTGATGCTATTATTATTATTATGTTATTTCTTATTATTATTTTTTAATTTTCTATGTATTTTTGTTTTTATTTTGGGTTTTGTTTTTTATTTTTATTTTTATTTTTATGTTTTTTGTTTGTTATTTTAATTTTATTTTTATTATTATTTTTATATTTTTTTAGTACTTTTAGTACTTTATACTTTTAAGTACTCCGTAACTGGCTCATTTGGGAGTTTAGTACAAAGTTTTGCGCCTATATGTAAAAATTAATAAACTAACTTCACGGTGCAGCATGGTTTGTATGAACATGCTGTCCCTGGGTGCATCAGTTAAGTTAGTTAGTTATAAAAGTCCTTCATTTCTGATTGTGAAATACAGTTATAAGGTCTATGACTAATTGGTTTTTACTAGTCACCTTTTTTTTTCAGCTCTTTGGAAAAGCCTTTGAACAAGCTGGCAGACAAAACCGGTCAAACAAGGCAGAATTAGAAATTTTTTGTCACAAATAGTAAGTAGAGTACTATCATCTGATTTCAACTTCAAACTGTGAGCATGGATATAGTTTTTACCATAATATTAACAAGTTCCTCCCTAACAGGTGACTTTGTGGTCCTTCACACTGTTTTTGTATTGCTAATCTAATCTCCGGTGCCCCTTTTCTCAACAGTTATACGACTGAGTGTGGATGATCGTAGTAAGTTCTTTGATGCACTTATCTCACTGCTCAGCTAAAGGTCTTATGATTTATGGTTAGTATTTCATTAAGGAGGAGAATGTGAAGATCTTTATTCAAAGTAGATTAGTACTTAAAATTTTGATATCATAACATCTTTGTGTGAACAGGTTTTGAAGCTTCGAGTGCTTCCTTTGTGTTTATTTGGATTTTCAGTATAGAATGAATTTATTTATGCCATGCTCTTATTGTAGAAGATATTTTTTTTTTTTTCTAATTGGTCTCAGAAGTGCAAGGCAAATAATAACTTGGTGTA